GTGGAAAGTTGGTCCTTTGGGTTACAGTATAAAAAGTAAGGATTCTACAATATATTGACAAGTGTCTATCCTTCATAGCCACAATACTAAATGTGGACCACAAATTCCCAGGGCACTATTCTTACCTGGCACCCCATTTCCTCTCTTCTGACTTTGCAGGAGCAATATGTGTTTGTGCACGACGCCATCCTGGAAGCGTGCCTCTGTGGCAACACTGCCATCCCTGTGTGTGAGTTCCGTTCTCTCTACTACAATATCAGCAGGCTGGACCCCCAGACGAACTCCAGCCAAATCAAAGATGAATTTCAGGTATGAGCAAATCCCAGGCTCGGTGACCATCTTAGTCAGTTTGGGTTGTTATAACAAATTTCTGTAGATTTGGTGGTTTAAATGACAAACATTTATTTATTACATTTCTGGAGGCTGAGAAGTCCAGTATCAAGCTTCCAGTAAATCCAGTGTCTGGGGAGGGCTCACTTCCTGTCTTTCAGATAGCCATCTTCTCATTGCATATTCACATGGTGGAAAGCAGAAGCAGCAAGCTCTCATGTTTCTTCTTTTTTTATTTTTTATAGAGATAAGATCTCACTACGTTGCCCAGGATGGTCTTCAAATCCTGGGTTCAAGCAATCCTCCCACCTTGGTCTCCCAAATTATTGGGATTACAGGCGTGAGCCACCACACCCAGCCCTGCATGTTTCTTCTTAAAAGAGCAGTAATCCCATGTTCATGAGGGTTCTATGTTCATGACCTAAACATCTTCCGAAGTCCCAACCTCCTAATACCATCACATTGGGGGCTAAGATTACGACATGGATTTTGGGAGGGATGAAAACATTTAGTTCGTAATAGTAACCCAACCAACTTCAGTGGCTCTGTGCACATTTGTGGGGTTTTCTTTGGGACAACTGATATGTCTATGCACTTTCAGTGTCTGCTCCTCTAGGAAGCTGCAGAATCTATTCCAGAACACAAAATGCACAGCCATGAGCAACGACGCACTCAGGGATTGCTGGTGCTTGTCTTTAACTGTGAATCTGTTTTTTAACTGAAGTCTTATTCAGTTCTAGTCCAAGTTGTGAATGGAGACAAATTTATACAAACAGGTGTGAATTTCATGCTCCTTCATCCATGGAGGGACTCAGGTCCTCTCAGTATTTTTTCAGTAGACTATTACTGCTAAAAGTGTGGTCTGCAGTCTGACCAACATGGTGAAACCCTGTCTCTACTAAAAATACAAAACAAATTAGCCAGGCATGGTGGCATGCTCCTGTAATCCCAGGTACTCAGGAGGCTGAGGCAGGAGACTTGCTTGAACCTGGGAGGCAGAGGTTGCAGTGAGCCGAGATCGTGCCACTGCACTACAGCCTGGGCAACAGAGTGAGACTCCATCTTAAAAAAAAAAAAAGAAAATAGCATTAGGAGCTATACCTAATGTAAATGATGAGTTAATGGGTGCAGCACACCAACATGGCACATGTATACATATGTAACAAACCTGCACATTGTGCACATGTACCCTAGAAATTAAAGTATAATAAAAAATAAATAAGATCCTCACCTGGAAGCCCGTATGGTCAGCGCTGTGGCAACATTGATTGGTCTAAGAAGCCTGGACATGAATCACTAAGTAAGGTAAAGCCGGAGTCCAGCCCTTTATCGCAAGACCAGTGTCAGGATTACACCTGGGCAATAGGAGCTGAGAACGAGGTATGAGAAAGCAAGGAAGCTCCAGGTCTTGCTTCAAGTCAGTGGGCAAATGCCAGGCCCATTGTTCCACGGGCAGATATCCTAGGCAGGCCAATACCTTAGCAATCCCTAAAACAAATAACCATTATTGATTTGAATTAGAGACAGAGGGCTGAATGACGGAAGGATGGAGGGTACAGAACTCTAGTCATTGCATGTAACATCTAGTCCATTGGATAGAGCAGTTCAGTTCTGGCCTCAAACCAGAACCCAAACACAGCAATTTCCCAGACATATTAGGGTTTGCCCTTCGGGGGTCTCTCATCTATCCTGAGCAGTTCATCTAGGCCTCCTTCCATACTCAGACAGTTTTCTCTCTGAGAAGAGTGCTGGTAAATCATTTCCCCCATTCCATGACAATGCAAGTGATGTTTAGCCCTCAGTAGGGATTTCCTACCCCCACCCCTCTGTACACCCTCCTGGCTGGCCCACCCTTTAATGCAGCACTGGCTGAGCTGAACCACTTAGTTCCTCTTGTTGGCAGGTACCATGAGACTGTGTCTGAGCCTCTGTGTGCATGCGCTGCTTCTGCAGCCTTAGCGTTTTGAAGGTGTCACACAGCTCACACACCCTGTAGCAGTGAGCAGGAGAGGACAGAACATCACCATGGAAGAGAAATGGGTCCTGGGAAAGGGACAGTGGGGCTGCACTTGGAGGGTGGAAATAGGCAAGTTAGGCTGAGTTGGAACATCACTGTCTCTTTTTTAGGCTGAGTTGGAACATCACTGTCTCTTTTGCTCGGGGCAGCCGTATGATCAAGGCCTATCTATTCATCTTTGTGCCCCACAGACCCTCAACATTGTGACACCCCGTGTGAGGCCCGAGGACTGCAGCATTGGGCTTCTGCCCCGGAACCATGATAAGAATCGAAG